TGAACGCTAGTCGACCTCATCATCACTGATGGAGACAGCCAGGACGGAGGATTATACGTGATGACCTTGAACACATCGTCTCAGAACATATCACAACTTTTTTTTTCTGTCTCGTCTCTGATTGGACGATCCAGCTCACCTGTATCATTTCAGCGTGACCTCATCGCAGGTGTGACCGCTCAGAGTCAGAGGGGACATTTCAGAATAAGAGTCACTTTATTTACCTTCATTTTTAGTAACAAGACAAGTGTGGCATTTCAAAATAAGAGTCTGTGGTGGAGGTTAAAATCACTTAAAGTCACCGTGCTGCCTTACCTGATTACACTACCTGGATCTATGCAAGTGTGTGTGTGTGTGTGTGTGTGTGTGTGTGTGTGAGATACTCTAATAGTGCTGTAGCTGCAGATTAGAGTTCCTGAATGTTTCACTGTTTCACTCCCTCCTGCAGCTTCTTGGTTCCCTCAGTGACTGAATGAATTCCAACATTTCAGAACAAACCAACCTTCATGAGAATAATTAATCGACTAACAGAGGATTATTTAGCTCAGATAAAGCTCCACAGGTTGCTTCCACTCCCCCCGAACAGCGAGCGTTCAATCAGGAGAGAAATCAGTGCGATAAAGAGATAAAATATGTTTAATAAAAGGGTTTAAAAAGTATTTTTTCTACCAAGGAGTGTGTAGTAAAAGTGTGTAAATGATGAGGAGGTGAAAGATATTTTCAAACGCTAATGGTCGTTTTTATATTTCATGTTTTATTCTTCATTGTTTAGTGTTTTATGTTTCCATCGTGTAGTCGAGTATTTCCACCGTCGACTCTCTGGCTTTGTACAAACTGCATTAAATTATTTGTTAATGACTGAGCGAATAAAGTTTTGAGATTTTAATAAATCATTTTACTGTGACAGCGGGGTGCGTTTGTTTTCTGTGTCCGGTGGGGGGGGGCTGATGTTGGGAACTTTTGGTGTCTGATTGTGGAGCTGAGTGAACTTTAAAGTCTTTCAATGACAAAATAATTCATTAAAGTCGGACTCTTTACAGCAGGGAGCAACGTTCAACAAAACAAAACATCTCCAGCAGCTTCTGTACCATCTTTTTATTTTATTATTATTATTTATTATTATTCATATTTTGTGCCAATTCAAACATAATTGTGTTTTTATTTTAATTAAAAATAGATCATTTGAATTAAGAAGAGAATAACTAGAAGATAATAGTCTTAAGGGCAGATTTTATTATATTTTCTTTAACATTTTCAGTGTCAGAGGATTAAATCATAAATATTGTTTATTTATTCTTGTTTATTGTCTCTAAAGTCTCCAAACTTCAACCTGTTCACCAGGAACTCCTTTATTTGATTTTATTCGTTAATGTGTATTTGTGGCCACCAGGTGACGACAGAGAGAAACGCGTTTCTGTTACATCCCCTGTGGCTTTCCGTAGTAAATTAGACCACAGTAATTTATTCAGTCTTTATGGTGAAATAGAAATAATAATAAAAATATCTTTAACCATAAAAAGCCATATTGAGTAAACACAGCGGACCTGGGATAAAGCTATTCGCGCTTCGCCTGATTTGTCTTGAACCTCCGCGGCTGCCGTAGACGGAAGTGAGAGAACAAACATGGTGCTGGAGAAGAAAGCTTCCGGTGAGTTTGAGTTGATTTGAGCTGAATTAAACGTTATTAATGTGAATAAACTGTATTGTTTGTGATTATAATGAATAAATAAATATAATAACCGTGTAGAAGGAGTAAAGGTGCGTTCAGGGACTCTTTTAACCCGCTTCTGTTGGTCAGCGGCGGTTAGCTCCACCAGGGTTCACTGAAGGAACTTAACCTTTAAACTTTACTCCGGTTTTATTAATGATACACGTTGATTATCTTATTTATTTTACAGATTCATAATTGTTGTACGATTATGATCAATTCGGCAACCAAAGTATTTATATATATATTTATATTTATATATACATCACATGACAATGCAAATATAGGTACAGCCAAGGTTTGAGTTTAAACAATACAATGAACAACATGCATCTGATTTATAAATCGATACTATTATATTGTGCCTCAGCTTACCTTCTAACTCCTTATCTAGCTTTTACATATTTTAGATACTTCATATTACATTTTCAGCCCATAATAATCAATAACATTAAGTGATTTACACACACAACAGCATCAATAAAGAATAACAGTAAAACAATATGTGAAAAACACAATAAAAGATTCTAATAGAAGAAATCACAAACATTCACAGCAAAGAGTTTCTGAGAGTTACAAGATAAACAGCCTGAGTGGTAAACACTGTCTCTCTCTCCATCTCATCTCGTCTCTGTCTCTCTCTCTCGTCCTCTCTCTCTGTCTTCACTCTCTCTCTCTCTCTGTCCTCTCTCTCTCTGTCTCTCTCCTCTCCATCTCTCGTCTGTCTCTCTCTCATCTCGTCTCTTCACTCTCCTCTTCTCTCTCTCTCTCTCCCTGTCTCTCCTCTCTCTCTCCTTCTGTCTCTCTCGTCTCTCCTGTCTCCTCCTCCTCTCTGTCTCTGTCTGCTCTCTCCTATTCGGCCGCTCTCCCGCTGCTTGGGTCTCTGTCTCGCTCTCTCTCTCTCTCTGTCTTGGTGGTCGCTCGTCGTCCGTTCTGGTGTCCTCTTCTCTTCTCTCTCTGTCTCTCTGTCTGCTCTCTCTCTGTCTCTCCGTCACTCTGTTTCGTCTCTCAAAGTTCTCATCGTCGCTCTCATCTCTCTCCTCTCGAGTCGTGCTCTGCGCTCTCTCTCTCAGTCGTCTCCTCTCTGCCTGTCTTCCTCTCTCCTGTCTGGAGGCGCCCTGCTCTCTCTCTATGTCTGTCCTGGTCTCGCC